TACCAAGCATCCATGATATGGTGAAATTAAACGCCATATACATATTTTGTGACCACAAACAAGAGCATGAAATATGGACAAAAAGTTGGGAAAAAATCAAAGGTATCCATACATCCATCCAACCAATATGTGAAGCATTGCAACTGGTTGTCAAACGATGCGATAAAGATAATATGTCAATCAGTATTATCGATGTGCATGAAGGAGTTTCTATCGAAAATCTCAATCAGCTAGAACCCTCCTTCATGTACTCACAAATATTCAAGGAGATCCTCCTGAATATCGAACATGGTCAAGAAGCCATGAAAACCTTGGTCACTTTTTGGCAACAAGAATACCAGGTCAACATCCACGCACTAAAAATTATTGATGAATTTCAACGCACTTACCATCCATCTAACGCCATCTGGTGGTACACACACCAAACTTTCACGTACGAAATGCTCAATCTAGCATTACGAACATTAGATGGCGACATACTCATCAAAATGGGGTTTTATTTACGTGATGTACACCGACAAATCGAAGAGTTATACAACAAACAAGTCAATCAAGAGCATGCACAGCCCTTTCTAGTCTTTCGTGGACAGGGACTCCCGAAAGCAGATTTCGAAAAACTTGCTAAAAAAACAGGTGGACTTATATCATTCAATAACTTTCTATCCACCAGTACAAATCGAGAAGTATCGTTTTTCTTCGCTGAAAGCGCCTTAGAAGCAACCGATAAAGTCGGTATCCTTTTCCAGATGACCATCGATCCCATTGTCTCATCCACTCCTTTTGCCTCCATCCAAGAGCTGAGTGATTTCGGCCAAGAAGAGGAAATTCTCTTTTCCATGCACACCGTCTTTCGCATTGGTGAAGTGCGAAAAATTGACAACAATCGTGCACTTTATCAAGTGGACCTTAAACTTACATCGGACAATGACCCACAACTTCGAGAACTAACTAACTACATGCGGAACGAGGTCGACGGCACCGGATGGTATCGAATGGGGCAATTGCTGCTCAAAATAGGTCAATTCGACAAGGCCGAAGAACTATATATGGCACTACTAGAACAGGCATCGGATGATAGTGACAGAGCACGTATCTATAATATGCTTGGAGAGGTGAGATATGATCAAGGACAATATCAAGAAGCAATTTCATTTTACAAAACCGCTCTCGCGACCTACCGAAAAACTCTACCGACAGATCATCCAAAGTTGGCTCAAATCTACACTAATATCGGTGCAGGGCATAATGCCATGGGTAATTATTCGAGAGCAATTGAATATTTCGAAAGAGCACTTAAAATAAGGAAAAATACTCTGCCTCCGACACATTCCGATTTGGCCGAATCCTACACCTGCATCGCTATAGCGCATAACAGCATGGGTGACTACTCGAAAGCACTTGAATTTTACGAAGCATCACATAAAATCTTGGAAAAAGCTCTGCCTTCGAATCATCCTGATTTGGCTACTTCGTACAGCAACATCGGTCAAGTGTATAATAGCATGGGTGACTACTCGAAAGCACTTGAATTTTACGAAAAAACACTTAAAATCGACGAGAAAACTCTCCCTCCGAATCATCCTGATTTGGCTACTTCGTACAGCAACATTGGTCTAGTGTATAAGAACATGGGTGACTACTCGAAAGCA